ATACAGAGTGTTGGGCTGGATGGGCCTTTGGCCTGATCCAACACTGGCATCTCTTATGTTCTTAGGTTCTCCCTAAAAGATTCGAAGGCCTGCTGATGGATACGTTCAACATCAAATTACAACAAACCCCGCAAAGTTGCTCCCCCCCGACCAGTTAAGCAAAGGGTGTGCATAGCCAGGACTAGACACATGTGGCTCATTATAACACCACTACTCTGCGTTTTGGGGGGTTTTGCCATCAAGTCATAGGTAACTTATGGCAACCCAGTAGGGTTTTCAAGGCAAGAGGCGAACAGAGGTGATTGGCCATTGCCTACCTCTGTAGTAACCCTGATTTTCCTTGGAGATCTCCCATTAAAGAACTAACCAGGGCTGACCTTCCTTAGCATCCAAGATCTGATGAGACTGGGCAAGCCTGGGCCGTCCAGGTCAGGGCAGGTTCATATAGAGGCCCTACCTCCCACCTACAGAGGTCTACAAGGATCATTTTGAATTGAGCCCAATCCAAAAAGTCTCTTTTTTAAAGTTAAGATGTCCACATTGACAGGGGGTAAACGGGAAGAAACAAGAATGATGGAAACCCTTAAAAAGTCAAATGTCATCAAGTTGACTTATGGCAACCCTGTAGGGCTTTCAAGGCAAGAGATGAACAGAGGTGGTTGGCCATTGCCTGCCTCTGCATAGCAACCCTGGACTTCCTTGGAGGTCTCCCTTTTGAGTGCTAACCAGGGCCAACCCTGCTTAGTTTCTGAGGCCTGATGAGACTGGGTTAGCCTAAGCTATGTATAATTACGTAACTCTATCAATCTCTGTCCCTCCCTCCCTCCCTCCCTCCCTCTATCTGTCTGTCTATCCCTATCCTTCCATCTATCCCTCCCTCTCTACCCCTCCATCTATCTCTCCATCTATCTATCCCGCCATCCCTCCATATTGTTGGGTATTACAAGTTGAAAACACTCAGTATATCTGGGGTTAAATGTTTGTTTATGTTACTCACAAGAAGTCACATGTTTCTCAGGTAACCAATGTTCTTTAGCTGTAGGATGCCCGGGAATTTTCTCCCTGATCTAGGAATCTGATTGGGACTAAAGTGTCAAGGTGTATTAGCATTTTATGCCTTCTCTTCGCGCCTTTGTTTGGTGTTCTGAAGAAGAAGTAAGAGTAGCCATAATCTCTCCTCTTCTAGTTTTGTCTTTGTAGTGTAAGGATGTAGCCGATTATGCTGTGTTGTTATTTTGATCCCAGTTACCCTTCCCATGCTAGAATTTAGTAAAAACTTTATATTTTAATCATACATGGACTCTCAGTCTGAATTGCTGGGCTATATTATGTCTGCTAAATACCATTTTTCAATATCTCACTATTACCCAACATCTCTCTCCATCTCTCTCCATCTCTCTCCATCTCTCTCTCTCTCTCTCTCTCTCTCTCTCTCTCTCTCTCTCATCTATCTACTACTGCTGCTCATATGGCTATCACCTTAAGCAGAAATTAGAACCAAAAAATATGTAAAGAGCCCTTAACTCAACGGAGGTGCATTTACATGTGGTCTGAAGCACAATGGAGCAGACAGAGGAGGCTGCTCCCCTTTCGCCCTAAACAGCACTTGCTTATTTTTGCATTGATCGTGGTTTTCATCCCACCCCTCCTCCACAGAGCCCAGGGAAGCATGCACCCTTCTTTCCTCCTTCATTTTTGCCCATGAGGGAGGCTAGGCAGAGAATGAATGAGCGGCCTGAATTTCCTCAGCGAGTTTCACGGCAGAGTGGGGGCTCGAACCCAGCTCCGCCCAGCTCCTAGTGTAATGCTCTAACCATGACACCACACTGACTCTCCAGCGTCATTTTTAGCCTGCCCTAAGAGCTTGTGGGGAGTACGAAAGAATGTAAGAACATTCAGGTCATGACTGAAACAGCGGCTGTGGTTAACCGAATGACTTTGTCCTGGCAATGCACATTTTGTAATGCCAAAATTGGCTCATGATGTCTCCGGTTGAGCATTGTGGCCAACCACCACCTCCTGCCTCCCGAATGCCTTCTGGCTCCAAGCAGAGCATCGAAAGACAACTCGTACAGCGAAGGTCAGCAAGACTGGGACAAAAATCCAGCCTGAGAATCTTGCTTATGCAAGTTTCCCTTCGCCCACCAGAGCAGTGCAACAACCAACTGCGTGAGACACATGTGGCGGTGCATTTGTCTGAAACATGTGAAGGTGCACCAAGGGTGCATCGGCATAGGAATGTCCTGAGCACTGCTCCACGAAGAAACTCTGGAAGCTGACCAAAGGGAAGAATGGGAAAAACTGGACAGCTATCATTTCAGGGATGTTTTGGCCTGAGAAAACAGTCTAGATAAGCCAGTGGGTCCTTCCACTTTCATGATTTTCAAGCTCAGCCGATGTTTAAGGTTGTTCCCACATACACGGCTAGCCAGGGAAAGGCCATTCATGATAACTAGTACTCTGTAGGGGAGGGGGTATGCATGACTACTGCGATTTCTTGTAAGGATCATGGGGGAGTACTTCTGATCTTGTTGCTGGGCAGCCCTATGTAAAGGACCTCTTTATGAGAACCATCACTTTCTCAGGCGGCCGCTGTGATTTCTATGAGACAGCAGGCACATGGGAAAGCGATGTAGAGATCCTTCACGTAGGGCTGCCCAGCCACAAGATCAGAGGTACCCCCCTCATGATCCTCCCTTCATGGGGCCCCACCATAAATGTGAACCGTGTGACTGTCACTATGAAGATTATCAGGAACAGAGCAACATTTCACACTAAGGACAAAGGGGTGGTAAAATGACTAAACACGTAGTTTTGTGGGTTAAATCCGAGAAACGCCTTAGGGAAGCGTTCTACCACCTTCTGAAGTCTGGTGCCGGCGGTCTTTCTTGACTCCCAGGACCAGAACCCGAAAACCAAGGCCCCCCCCCTCCAAGAAAAACAGAACAGAACATCGAATGCAAGATATTCACCACCAGATGGCACACTTGTGCAAGTCCCTCCGTTCTGGCAGGGGCTCCTCTCGCAGGCGTCGGGATACAGCACGCAACCGAGCTTCAGCTCTGTCAGGCCGACCACTTCGGCGAAGGTGCTGCGCTTGTTTTGCAGCGGCAGCTCGTTGTTGTTCAAGACGACAGAATCCAGGCAGCCCTGGAAGCCACTCAAGACCTGCGTGGGCCTCTTGTCTGTCAGGCTCCGGACATTGTCCACTTGCACCAGGGCGCCGAAGTATACCGAGCTGTCGGTGCTCAGCGTCTGGAAGTAGAGGGGGGCCTTGCGCCGTTCCACGTAGCTGTCGTCCAGGGACAGGCTGGTGAAATTCCGATTCAGCTCAAGGAAGACCGAGTGCCAGCTCCCGTCGTTGACGGCCCTGCCGGAAATCCCCAGGATGCCCGGGCCGGTGCCACAGTCCAACTGGAACCACAGCTTTCCGTCCACGATCTGTGAGGGGAAACCAAAACCCCAGAAAGTCAATACTTGCGGCAGAATCCTTGTGTTTATTCCAGAGCTCTGCAGAAGAACTATCAGGCAATGAGTACCAATGCGCCATACATGCACTGCTTTCACTTGATCGCGGAAAGGCCGCAGTTGCATTGCACACGTAACTCAACTCCAGCCAAGTTTTGTACCAATCGATATGTGTGTTGGGCTGCCTGGTGTGCATTTATGGTGGTGGCGGAAAGTGCCGTCAAGCTGCAGCTAACCCAATAAGGTTTTCAAGGCAAGAGATGAGTTTGGTCTGCCATTGCCTGCCTCTGCGTAGCAACCCTGGACTTCCTCGGTGGTCTCCCATCCAAGTACTGACCAGGGCCGACACTGCTTAGCTTCTGAGACCTGAGAAGATTGGTCTAGCCTGGGCCATCCAGGCCAGTGCGTTGATACATACCTCTCAATGTAGGAGTAGCTAACCTTCCAAAAGGTGAATTCCCATGATGACTGGTGAATAATAATGCTAAGCCATGTAAACAGCACTTGATGAATTTAATGGGCTTCACATACATTATCTCAGTAATTTGTACAACAATCCAGTAAAGTAGGCCGGTATTATCACCTGTCAGTTAACACTGCCATGTTGCTGGGATGTGTGAAGGGGGAAACCACCTTGCTCTGCTTGCTACGCACAGAGTTTCACTGTCTGGGTATTATCTACTTTCTTGACCTTGGGTTGTTCCAGCTGCTGTCGGCTTTTGCTGGGAACCAACGGCTTTTGCTTTTTGCCCACTTTCTTTCCCCCCGCGCGCGAGTTTTGCTTATGGGCTTCAGCTTGTAAAGGGGGGGGGTGTTTGGTCATAGCATAATTCAGGGTGCCACACTGTTCCCGGGCATTCATGACATAAGCAGTACACGTGTCATAGTCCTGGTGTACCAATAAACAGAATTCTTCTTATGAAGTGCTGTGCTGTGTGACCTGACTATTGAACTCTGACAACCGTATGCAGATGGGGGTCTAAGTATGAGAGAGTGATTTCCCTAAGCTCACCTAGCAGAGATCTGGACTAGGGATCTCCTGGATCTCAGCTTAACTTTCAGGATCAGACCTGGGCCATACGGGTTAGGGAAAATTTCATGACTGCTTTGGTTCAGTTTGAATACTGGATCCTTTCTTCTTGATTTTCCAGTGTGTTAGAGAATAAGCCTGATATTTGCTTTATGAACTATTTATTGCTACACACAATGGACTGTGCACATACACATAGGCTCAGAAAGCTGTTGTGATGCCACACACAGAGGGTGCCTGCACATACCTTACATGTAAATAAGGTTTCAGCTACACAGTTACCCAGCCTGGTGAAGAAGCACAAACTTCCATTATTGGGAGCAATGAAAACAACTCTAGGAAGAAACAGCCCCCATGGCAAAGCTGCTTATGGTCACGTACCACCCATCAACTGCTTTGTTCCTGAGCTGGAATTTCCTGCCATAGGGACATTTGGTTATCAAAGGAACTGGCCAGCTTCATCAGCACTACAATGAAGCATCTTGACGCCTAGATTTCACACCTGTCCAGATGCCATACTTCGAGTAAGGTTTTAGGTTACAATATTGGCCACCCCTCTTAGGTAACCTCCCCTTCCCACATGCAACCAATAGGATTGTTTTTGGGATGGACTAACAGGTAGGTGGGTCAAGAGGTTGGCACAGTTACCACCCATCTCTTGGACCCCCTATAAAAGGAGAGAACCAGTCACCTGGCCCCTCCTACCTGATCAGCTAGCATCTCCCCCGCAACAACCTCTGTCTACTTTTACTCCTCTTGAGTCCCACTTGCTATCCCCAACCCTTGTCTCTACTGCCCATACGTTCCAGCTGGTTCTGGTCGTGTGTGAATTCCCTTTTTTTTCCATTTCTTCCCATCCATTCTTCATTGGACCAACCAAGTTGCAAGACAGATAAGTATCGCCCACCATCACCCCTACTTGCTAATGCAACTGTGCTTATTTCCTACTGTAACTCTTAGGAACTTGATTGAATGTGTGAGTGCATCAGTATTGTTTGTAAGAGATATATTTTTAAGTAAAAGACATCTATTTTAACCACAACAGCCTCGAATCCTTTACTGGTAACCCTTGGTGGGATTAGGACCTTGGTATAAATCGGCAAGAACCCATTTATAAATTGCCAATTGCTGTAAAATAAAGCAATTCAGCTAACAAGTGCTTGGGACGAAATTGTAGCTGCCTTGTTCCTAGCCAAAGCAATATTTAACACCGTTTTTGATAGGTTAAAAATGTGTAAAAATTCAGTCCAATAATTGGTAACAGCCAGTGTTCCCTCTAAGCTGAGTTAGTGCGAGTTAGCTCACAGTTCTTTAGCCTCTAGCTCACATGTTTTTGTCTTAGCTCAGGAAGGAGGGCTCCAGAGCAAACTAGAAGCAAACGCAGAGCGTTGAATGTAAAGAATACATAATGCAAAGTGGATACAGGCTGTTACCAATGCTCCCTCTTCTAAACAATTACATTCTGGACCCTTAAGGTCTGAGGCCGAGAAGAATCATCTGCAAACTGAGATCCTGCAAATACCTCAGGCTGGCAGTTTCTAAACTAAGATAGAATGTGAGAAAAGGGACCCAGAACTTGTAAGCTCTGTTTAAAGCAGGCCTGCGAAACTCAGGTCACATCAAGCTGTACGCAGCTCACCAGCCACGTACGGATTCCTGCGTGATTCAGAATTTCCAGAGGAGCCGGCGTGTTAGTCTGTTCCAGCACAAATAAACAGGGGTCAATAACGTGTGTTCTATTTTTGCTGGGACTGCAAAACCAAGGGCGGGGAAGGGAGACGGAGATTGGTAGCTTGAAAGTGGCAGTTCAGAGAGACATGACGGAATGCCGGGCCTACCAATTTAAATGCAAAAGCGAACGGAGAGGCGTGAATTTTGAGATATAGCGGGAGGAATTCTTGTGGACAGAATTTTTCATATAGAGTCTATTTCCCTGCATCTGATATGCATACAGTTCCCCCCCAAAATCTATTATATGCTGAAGGGTGTATCATATATATTTCACTGCAGAGATAATTTGCTTTTCAGTCTACCTAAATGAAGTGCCAAAGACGCATTTACAAATACAGTTATACAGCACATATATATATCTCAGAAATAATACAGCAGACGTTCGCGTTAAAATAGGATTTATAGTTCTTACTCCGTGCTCTGTTTGTTTACAATATAAAGTTAAGCGACACCCCTCCCCAAACACACACCTTATCACTGAAAGTTTATCACTGTTACACTGAGGACTGTCGTCTTTAATGTCCTGTTATATTCTACGGGATGTTACTGAGGCATTTCATTACATATCCCACTGGGTCCCACTAGGAGTATCTTGTAATACTGTAACAGACAGAGGTATCCTAAACAAAGTTACACCCTTCTAAAAACACTGAGGTCCATTCAGGATATATGAGGATAACAGTGTAAAAGGAAAAGAGGCCTGAGATACCAAGCATAGAACCAACATCTGTTACGTGGGCGCTTAATCTGAAAGATTTTGGTCTTTTCTAAAGGTCTTTTCTACAAGTTTCTTTGTCGAGAGGATGGGCCATGGATTATGTGTGGGGTGCAGAGAAGGAACATGTTCTTGGTCCTGTATCACATGACTTGCAATGGCCACTTAAAAAAAATGGCTATACTAGATGCTAGATTCCCAAAGAAAAGACTGAAGCTGATCTCAGTATCTGTGGGCTGCTAGAAAGACAGAGTATAAAGTAAGCAGATGAGGTCACATAACTCACCTGTAAATAGACTTGCCAGTCCTCCGGTTTCGGCCAAAGTTAGCTGCATCCCTATGTCACTTCTGAGAAAGACCTGGAAGTGACATAGGTAGTTCTAGGAATTGCTAGAAGCTTTATTGCTTTATCATAGATTTTTTCTGGCAATCCCTAGAGTTACCCTATGTCAATTATAGGTTCTTCCCAGAAGTGATACAGGGATGCAGCCAATGTTGCATGCCTCCCCATGTCCCTGCCTCCAGTCCACCCACTGATTGCCAGGCTTGCCATAAAATAGGGCAAACCCTTTATGTAAAGGATCAGTGGCCATTCTACCGGAACCCTGCGTATGTTCTTACTTCCCTCTTCCTTTTGTGCCACGTCCAATAGATTGCAAACCATTCTGGATGCCATTCCTTTTACTTGTGATGGAGCACTCAGTGAGAATTTAGTAGCTTAAAATAATGCAGAGTAATGACAATCCTGTAGCAGATTCAGGAGCAGGCAGCTGTGGAGATCACCAAGTTAGGCCAAGAAAAGCTAGCTGGAAATGGGGGAAGCAGACCTTTAAGAACTTTTAAGGCAGCTGGTGAAGGTACCATGATGCACTCCTGCACTAGCCATTTTGTCTGGAATTACCATCGTTTGTCCATGCAGTTGTACACCGAGAAGACCAATAATGTCACTGTCAAACTGAATCAATTATACACTTCCCATGTTTCCTCCCGTCTTTTTCAGAGCTGGTTTGGGGCCACAGTTTGGGCTCTGAGTGGGACTACACTGCTTAGCCTTTCTGGTATGGACTAGCAAACATGTCATTGATACTACGGACAGGAGGAGTGTGGGCTGGTGACGTGGTCGGTAGAGTTCCCCCTACTTCCTGGTTGTGTTGACATTCTGTGAACGTCCCGCCGTGTGGCATCTTCTTCATTATTTTTACACAGAAGAAGAAGAAGAAGAGAAGAGATTGGATTTATACTCCGCCCTTCACTTGGAGTCTCAGAGCGGCTTACAAACTCCTTTCTCTTCCCCTCCCCACAACAGACACCCTGTGAGGTGGGTGGGGCTGAGAGAACTCTGACACAAACTGCTCTTTTTCAAGGACAGCTGTGCCAGAGCTTGTGACTGACCCAAGGTCACATCAGCAGGTGCAAGTGGAGGAGTGGGG